GTACAGCAGTATTATTATTATTATTATTATTATTATTCCTGGAAGGTTGCTGTGGAGCTGTTAATTCCACAGAGCCAGAACTTGAGGCAGCTCATGGCTTATGATTTCTAAGCTTCAGCCTCTCTTTTCATATAGTCATCTAGATTGAATCAAGTCCTGTTAGTGAGATCCCAGTTCAGTGCTTGCTTTTACCAGCAGTCATTAATCAAGAACACTGTTGTTTAGCTAATGGACATTGTGCCCACTGGTCTTCGAAAGGATAGAAGTTATGACTGTTCAGAAAAAGGAGAACTACAGTAATGCCTGTTTGTCCTGTTCCCTTACTTAAATTGGTTTGAATTTTAAACCTGGGAACCTACTTTTGCTGGCACTTGGTATTCTTGTTTGGTTCTTCCACAAATGATATTGAAAGCACCTGGGCAGGGAGGGTATAGTAGAGTGATGCTACTCCTTGTTCCCAGCCCCACCATGCAATATAGTCCTGGTGTCCCAGACAAACATCAAGTGTTTTTGATGCCCAAACATTAACAATAAGCATGTACTGCATTTAATGCCATGCTATTGGATTTTGGTTTGTGAGGCACTGTGCATTGTTCACATTATTATCTCTGAATATAATTTATTGGACACAAATACAGTTCTGTTGGGAGTTACACACTATGCTAAGCCATAGAACGATTGTAATTTTATGGATTAGTGAAACATCTGAGTCCAGCTAATTGTGGCTTATGCAGGGTTAAGCAAACCATATATGTAAACTAACTTTAAGCTATTTCATCATTCTACCACAGGTATCTTTTCTTAACATAATGCTGCTATAAGAGCTATGAATCTGATTTTCATATGTCAAAATATGGTTTTCAAAAATCACAAGTATTATAACTTCTTCACACATTGCAATGAAGATCTAAAAGAAGAAAAATAAGTTTTGATGTTTTACCTTAAAGGAGGAAGTAGTAATCAGGAATCTTTCCATTGTACTATGATATTTTCAATTGTATTTACTCATTGATGTCCCCCTGGCTAATTTTTCTTGCTTTCATTCCTCCTAGATACCATTAGAAGGTATGAAGCATGTCACTCATCTGCATTCCTCTCTTAAGTCACTTCTTAGTCAGTGAAGTGGGTGCACATCTAAGAATTATGCAGCTAATTTTGTTGTTCAGTTGTTAAGTCATGTCCGACTCTTCGTGACCCCATGAACCATATCACGCCAGGCCTTCCTGTCCTTCACT